GGAGGTCATCCTCTTTGGTCCCTGGACGCAGCGGGCGTCGCCTTCCCTGCTCGCTGACCAGGTCGGAGTGAATGAGCGAGCATCTACGCCGAGGGTGAGCTCACGACCTCACTCATAGCCCGCTCCGTTCTCCGGCAGCCCCATCAGAAAGCCCTCCCTTGGGCTGAGTTAAAATCTGCTTCTCTAACTTCCACCAGGTGGGCACAGCCATAGGAGGGGTGGGCACAGACTGACTGCCGAAGTTCCCTCTGGCCCATCCATACCATCTGGGTGGTTGATGGTGAGGCCCAAGCAGGGCTCCCGACTGGGTGGTCCTCTCGGGATCCCATTGAGTGACTGAGGGTCGGTGACTTGGATTTCGATGAGGACAGGTCTTTGGGTCCTCCCCATCCACACCCCCTCCCAGCTCTGCCCCTGGACACCTGGAGGGCTTTCTCCTTCCTTTTTCTCATTACAAAACTCATACTCACTGTAGAAAAACTGGAAATTACAGAAATAACCCTTCCCCAAACCGGTAGCTCTTTCTGATCCCTAACATGCATTTGAGTGCATATTTATTTATGATTATTACATGGTTAGCTTCTTACTGTACACATTTTTTTCACCTATAGTAGATATAGTAGATATCTGTCCATGTTACTAGATGTTCTTCTACAACATGAGTTAATAGACGTGCAGTATTTTATCTTATGGATACGCATTTCCCTATATCTAGCTCCCCAGATACTATTAATCTACTTTTATGTCACTGAATATTAGGGTGTTTCTAATCTGGGGCTATTAAAAACTTCTTTTTATCTAGTTCCTTCACTCCCAGGAATTTTCCCTATGTAGGGTGGGAGCTAAGGGATATAAGGTCGGTTGCAACATTGTACAGCAGAAGATGGAAACAGCCCCCCTGTCCCACTGAGGAGAGGCTGGTTAATTATAGCTCTGCCATAGTATGGGCTACTGGAAGGCTCAGAATGTCCTGGTAACAGAAGCTCTTCAATAGGTCCATGTCGAACAAGCAAGATGCAAAATAGCATGTTTGCTACTCTTTGCGTTTTCAAACGGGGTATTGATATACACCTATCTGTTCGAATAAGCATAGGCTATATCTTAATGGATGTGTGAGAAAATGGTAACCTTTGCTGAGAGAAAGAGGGGTGAGGAGGATAGATGCTGCCAGGGGTGGAAGGAGACTGAGTGACATTTCACTCTGCTCTTTTGAATTGTTGCTTTAAAAACCAACCAGCCAACCAACCAACATGTACAGGTGTTACCTTTTAAAAGTTTTTTTTAGGAAAAATAACTTTTGTGCTAAGCATTCTTATAGTTAAATCTTTGCTCGTCATAATTTCTTAGTATAAATTCCTTTAAAGGGCCAAAGAGATATGAACTTTCCCCCTCAGTTTTATTGTTTATATTAACTGTATTGAGGTATAAATTCTATACAGTAAAAATTTATCCACTGGTAAGTGTACGGCTGGATGATTTTTATATGATTGTAAGTGTACACGTAGGCATCACCATTACAGGACATGTAGAACACATTCCATCCCCCCAGAGGCTCCTTCATGCGTGTGTAGTTTTTGAAGAACTTGACGGGGAGGGTTTGTTGCAGGGTGGGTCTGTGTTCAGACATGTGCTCCCTGCTTGCAAGAACACATGTGGGAATGTCGGAGGCGAGACAGGCGTTGGACAGTTCTGACTGTTGTCCTGATCCAGGTGGAGGGGCCTGAACAGTGCCTATGGAAGGCCAGAGGTCCTGGGTGTGCAGCACTGTCACGTGGCTGATGTTCTAGGTGCCAGGAGCAGGACAAGGGGTGGTGCTTGCAGGGACTGAGTTTCAGCTCAGGGAAGGAAACACTTTCTAATAATCAGAACTGACGGTGGAGCAGCTGCCTCATGTGGTGCTGAGCTCACTGGGATGTTTGAGAAAAGTCTGGGCTTTTAGAAGCAGTCCTGAGCTCACCTGTGGTGAGCACATGGCTGGTGTGAACATTCTGTCGGGTCCTCCCAACTCCAGTGAAGCTAAAGGTACCGGTTATTACTCTGCTTAGTACATACTGGGCACCAGGCTCAGGACTTCCCATGGATTATCTCCCCAAGACTTCACAATAATCTTCTGGAGTCAGTTCACTTCTTGCCATCCCCATTCTACAATGAGGAACTTGAGTGGCTGGCACAGGTTTCCATAGAGCGAGGAGTGGAACCCTTGTATGTCTGGCCTCAGGGACCAAATTTATACTGCCCACAGGTTATCCTCTAAGATGCTGCCTCCTCTGAGTCACTTGGTTGCTTGAACTGTGTGCTGCAGTGGTGGCTCCACTTCCTAGCACATAAACCTGGTGGGTCACTTGGCCTCCCTGCCCCTTTCCTCATCTGTAAAGCAGAAACAGCTAGAGCTTGGCTGCCTGGCCCCTGAAACCCCAACTCTGGCAGAGACATAGGACTGCTGCTGACCCGCCTCCCCCAATACCAGGCCAGCTGGCATCTGGGGTCCTCCGCCTCCCAGGCTCTAGGGCCTGGCATGAACAATTCCATCCTACCTGCCTTTGGATGCTCATGACCTGAGCAAACTGTTTACCAGATGTCAGAGTACTCATGGCCACTCCTCCCCACCCAGCAGGTCCTGCCTGGCCTGGGCCCTGGTCTCCGAGTGAGAACTGAGCTGCCTCACTTGCTTAGCCAGATGGGCGCAGCAGATCCTACCCACAGCCAGCCTGGCCCCGCCTCCTGACCAATTCCTCCCAGAGCTTCCCCTCCACAATTATGAGCCTGGCCATCCGAACCTTTGGCTCAGGTTCTAGCTCCACCCACTTCTAGAAGAGTTCCTTCCTCAAGCCATCTCCCTCTTTCCTTCTTGGGTGAGTCAGTTAAAGGGCGAACCATTAAAGTACCACAGGCCTTGACTCCTACTTGTCCAAGTGCTCATAACTGTGCACACGGAGCAGCAGTCCCACTTCTCAGCAGCGAAGTTAAGGGATTTGTTGAAGCCACAGTGGGCTGAGAACCCAGGCCTCCGCATCCTCAATCCAAGGCTCTCCGAGTTGCCTGGGGCAGCCCCTGCCCCCCAGTGGTAGGGATTTCAGCTTTTAGGGCCCAGCTGAGGCCCTAAGGGTCCATATGAGACAGACGATAGTGGAACCTGCTTGGTGAGGGGAGGCACGGTGGACTTGGCTAATCCTGTATTTTTATTATCTTCTTGGCCAAAGCCATTAGTCTGCCTTCCCTTCTCCTGGGCAGTCATCAGGTGCTGCTGATTCTACCTTTGGTCCCTTCTCCATCCCCACTGCTGCCCCCCGTCTCACCAGCCCTGCCCCGGAAGCAGCCACAGCTATGCTCTAGCCCCTGGCTCTAGTCACCTCCTGCTCTGGGACCCCTGCAGCCACCCTAGGACAGCAGGCTTACGCTGCCAAGCCCAAGGCTCAGCTCAGCTTGGGGACAGAAGGGCACACCCAGGGGAGGACGTGCTTCCCCAGGAGAAACGGAGCAGCAGATGGCTTGGGCAGCCGGTCTTTGGAACCTTGCAGCTTCAGAAGCAAAAATGATCTGCTAGGGCCCTGACCCAGCTCTCCTCCTGGCACCCAAGTGCTGACCAGGGACAGACACAGCTGCTCCTTGCACACGTGGCCTGCTAGTGGGGCCCAGCTGTGCTGCTGCCAAGGAGAAAAGGCGGCTTTGTTGACCTCAGGACATGAAACCCGGCCAGGGCTGTAGGGGGAGTGAGACAAGTGGATCTAGCCCATATGTGGGTGCTGCCCCAGCCAGCTGGACACTTTTCCTCAGCATGTGGCCTTGGCCAGGTGCTCCTATGGACATGGTAGTTTCCTGCGTTCCTGAGCTGCCTAGTAGGGGCACTGATAGAATTAAGTCTTTTTGTTGTTGTTCAGAGGAATTAAGTCTTCATCAAAAGAATGCTCCTCTGAGGACATGGAGTAGGCTATGCCAGCTCTGTCACCAGCTTTCCCTGGTGCAGATCACCACCCTTCCCCACACCTATGCACGAGTGCCCATGTGCACAGAGCCATGCAAAAAAAGCCAGACCAGAATGAATGAATGAATGAATGACTATAACAAAAATGGAAGCGGGAGGGCGGGGGGCGGGGGCGGGAAGAAAGCCAGACTATCTTTTTTTTGTGATGGGTCACTATGATTTATCCTCTGTTGCAGGAGTTAAGACAAATTATTAAAAACTAAACATAACATTGAGCCTTATTTTTCCTTCTCAATTGTAACCAGGTATGGAGGACTTTACTGTGCCAGGTGCTGTCCAGGCCAGCACCTCCCCCGGAGCAACCTGGGCTGGAGGCGATTTCACTGGTTCTTGGGCTCTAGGGTCCCTTGAAGTGGCCAGGAGACAACATAGGGAGCATTATAGGGGAGGGCTGGGACTTACTGTCTCCGAGGCCCTACCACACACCAGGTGTTTGCAGTTTGGAATGAATAAGATCCAGGTGCTGACTGGGCTCCTTCCTAACTCTCTGGGCAGCCTGAGTCTATTGCTCATCCACAATGCGTGCTTAAGTTCGTTGCTACTTTCTTTGGGTGTCAGGTGAGCAGACTTCACAGTGGAGCACTCAGAAGTGAAGGGCAGGTCAGCTAGATGCTTTCTCCCAAAGTGGCTCTGTCTGGAAATTGCACTTCTGCTAGTTCTGCGTAAGGAGAGAAGGGAGTGCCCAGAGCTGAAGCAGAATTTCAGCAGTGGACATGGCCAGGAATATTTCATGAAGCCTGGGGCAAGGGCAGTGGCTTGTCAGGAGACGGGGTCGCTGGTCCCGTGCAAGGTTGTCACTGTGTCCTCTGTTCCAGACAGGAATTCCAGGCCTGGACAGGAGTGAAGCCATCAAGATCCACAAAGGCAAAACCTGCCACAGTCATCACAACCCACAGCTCCGGATGGGACGGTAGCCCTGGGGCCAGCTTCCAGGTCAGCCTGAAGCCAATGCCGCAGGGCGAGGGGCTGGGCTCCTGGCTGCAGCGGGTGTGGGAACGAAGGGCTTTTTCTAGGTTGGGGGCTAGGAGTCAGATTTGAATGGTGTGAAATGGCACATGGCCGAGGGGAGCAGTGTTTCTGAGTGCCCAGTCATCCCTCAATATACAGAAAACCAGGGTTCTTTGTCATCAGCCAGGTGGAGGTCCCCCTAGTGCTGCTTTCTCTGGTGAGCAGGGCGTCTCTTT